ATTATTCCATTCATCATTTTATATCTTAATATTTTAAATGTTCTCCTACGCTACCTGAAATCTCTAGCAAAACCCTAGGTAGTCCTAAATTATTTAGCACATCTATTAATGTTTAAATACCTTGTGAATTTATTATTTGCAAAAGTATACCTAGCTATTCGTTAAACCTAATGATAAAAGTTCGTCTCAATTCCAATAATCTTTGCTAGCTGGAAACCCTATTAAAACCCTAGCTATTCCTATATCTAATGCAAAATTGAATTTAAATTATTAAAATTAAAATTTGATAATAATGAATTTAAATTACTCTAAGCTGATTGAATTCTATTCTAAATATACTGAAAACACGAGGAAATAATTAAGGTTAGTATAGTTAAGTAAACGGAACGGACTCACTGGATTACGCCAACCTCGAACCTGCTACACGCCAATCAGGTACCAGCAATCAGGAACCCACAACACGCCAACCAGGAATCACTCGCGATTCGACCTCCACTCCTCCCTGGAAACTATCATGGTTAATTCCTGGTGAATTCATCATGATGGGCTAACTGGCCTGTTTTAATTTTAATCGATCACCCATCACTGGTGCCCTGCCAGCGTATACCATTAGCGCAGGCGGAGTTACCATTCTATTTTCACCTATCAAAAAAAAAACCATTATGACGTACGGCCCACCTGATGGTAAGTGGTTACCGTAGCCATTTTGAACATCGATTTAACAATGCATCAATATCAAACAATATAAATTAATATTAAATGGACGTCCATATAGCATTAATTTTGTTAGATCGTTTTTTTTTTAGCTTTATACATTTTTCTGTAAACATTAAAATATTAATTTATTATTTATATTTCTTGCAAGTTCAACACCTCTCCACAAGATGGCGTTAAATGTTTTTTTTTTACACAAATGGCGAACGGTTACAAACTTACATAAAAATACATAGTATCTCTAATTTGTAGTCTTGATACTTTAAGACTTTTTGATAAGTAATGAAATGGGGACTATCTTTAATTAAATTAGGCAATTAAAAAGTCGTATTGAAATTGTTAGGTAATTTAAGAACCATTTAAGAACTACGATACCACAGACATACATGGAAAAAGTTCTAATACCATTATTTATATTGCGGCTTAGATTAAGCAAGTGTCGCGGTTTAAACATTTATTATAACTACTTTTTATCTTTTTATAATACATCTAAATGAAATTCTGTTTTGCACAAACGGGAGATTTTTTAGTATTTAAGTAAGCTAAGACCATGAGTATAGGTAGATCCATACATTTGGGATAGTATCTGCGTGGTAGTTGTATTTTTATTTATTCGAGATGATATGTAACCTAGCAACAGTCACTAAAATAAACATTTTAACTAACAATCATGTTATAAAGATCTTTATATTTTATTTTTAATTCATGTAATAGAATTTATTCCTTGTTATACCTAATCTCCTGTTCTGTTGTGGTAATAGCTAAATATTTAGTCCGTAAACATGGATGTGAGAACTATAGGAATCGCCCCAAATCCAGAATGTTTAAAAGGAGTGGTTGCATGCCAGTGTGAACTAGGTCGAGAGAAGTTACTTACTGCTCCACCTTACAAACGAGCAGCCTCACCACCATGTGATGAATCAAAGTCAAGGTACTCGACAGCACCGTGCGCAAGGGACCTCGAACAATACAAATGCCCCATAAGCCATATATTGGTCACATTTAAATCGCCCTTACATCCCAACGAAGTGTTCAACAAGGTCTTCCCAGCAAATACGCCAATAAAATACGTCAAACGCAAATTAGCCAAATTACTCTCGGTGTCAAATAATAATCTTCTATTGACTAAAAACAGAACCGTACTGAAGGAAACCAGTGTACTGTCCGATCTAAAGACTGATGCACTCGGAAACTTAGTTATTGACGTTTTTACGAAAGATTCTGATGAATTCTCATTGTCATCTGTACCAAAAGAATCTTATGTGCATGAACTTCTACATGCTGTTATACCTAAGAAAAAGACGATGCCTTTTATAGCAATAAAGTTCAGAGTTCGCAATCAAAACGGCATATTTACTCGTTCATACCATTCAATAATGAAAGTTCATGAAATTAAAAAGAATTTAGCAGGACTTTTCCAAGTAGACCCAGATAACATAGTACTTTTACGTGGCGAAAATCCGTTAAAAGATCGCATGGCTCTATCGGATCTTGATTATGATAAATACGGAATAGTCGAGGTAGAACTGTTAACGAAAAATAACGAGAAATTAAATTTGGATAAACTATACAAAGAAATGCCCATTAACGATGTTTTAACTGTCATGGTACCTTTTGGTAGTACTGTGAAGCAGATAAACGTTGAAATTTTTTCGAAAGCTATGGAAAAACCTTATTTGGGCGGATATAGAAATGTTTTCACAGGTGATATTTTGATTTATTAATAATACTTTTCAGTAATAATTTTATTACTCAAATGGCAATGATTTCTTTTATCCAGCTGAATAGTAATGAAGGAAAAACACAAACTAATTTATAATTTTCAGGAACGATTTATCATCACGCATATACACAAACACCTCAAAAACCAGAGAAATTACCTCCTGAGAGAAAAAGCTGCAGGGACACCCAAACAGCAGAAGAAAAAGAAAAAATATATGTGAGATGATAAATTTATAGCTGCTCCATAATTTGTTACACATTTTCCTTTTTTAACCGAAAATGGGAAAAAGTTGCATGCTCGCTTATTTTTAGTTCAATTAAAGATAAGGTTGATAATGCAAATTTTTTCAGATTTGAATGAGTTTTATATAAAAAAAACAATTTCAGGATACACCATATAGCCGATCTACGCAAATGAATACCGTACATGCTTACATCCCGAATGTAACGGATAAAATTATTATACCTAAACCATATGAGACTTATGAAAAAATGATTTTTCGTTTGAATCACAATCACTACGCTGTAGTTATCCAACGTGCCTTCAGACATCATCAGTTTAGACAAAAAGTAAAAAAATGGATTAGAGAATGCATGTAAGATGATATTTGGCTACTATTTATCTTTATGGCTCTACATAGAGACAATGGTCTTTTTTCTGCGCAACATCCCATTGCCATATTTTGATGCATAAAAAATTATAATTTCGATCCACGAGCTATTCCTCGTCTATGTACGTCCATAAAGATAGCAGTAATTGATAAGGTTTAAAAATAAATAAACATTGATGCTATTTTCTATAGGGAGAGGACAGCAAAAATGAAAGAAGAAAATAGACTAGAGCGAGAAGCTATGGAGCGGCGTCTACGTCGCGATCTAATAACGAAAACATTTCCGAAAACACGTGAAGATTTTGATCAACTGTATGCTATGGTTAGAAAATTATTAATAGATAGGTAGTTAATTAGGTACCTACTTAATATTATTTAATAAATTAATTAAACCTGTACTCTTTTTAGGTTGACCGCTGGAAACACGCAGAAATAGCTCGAATTTCACAATTACATTCCAAAGGTCCCAAAATTGCTGAATTTACATTGCTTCTCGATAAGGAAGTGGAATTACTACGTTGTATTGAAGCTTATAGAATAAAAGTGAAAGAAGACAGCAGAAAGATCAAAGAGAAAAATTTTTAGAAGAAATTTCTAAACCCGTCGCATGGTTTGGCAGGGATGGTAAACTAATTACAATGGAGACGGTAGAAATACAGAAAGCACAAAAACTCAAGGAATTGTACAACTCTTTTATCCGTGAAGATATGACAGTGAAAGAACGCATGGAGCTCCTCGTTGATTTGAAATTTGCTCTACAAGAGTTCCGTCACCCATTAGCTGAGGAAATAATAATACTATTAGATAGAGAATGTGATCTTCTCATCAGAAGATGTAACGAGCACCAACTTGAATTTTTGAGACGAAGAATCGCAGCAAGTGTATTCCAATTGATTAAAACATCAGAACTGAATTCTGGAGTGACTAAATGTAAAGACATTAGAGACTATAGAAAAATGGAGAACAATAGACTGTATTTTTGCGAGTTGTGTCATCAAGTTAAATCTTACACAAATTTCCCATTGAATGCCAAAATGAGCGGTTACTTGGTATGCACTTCGTGTTCGTGGAAAGATGTAACTGAACGTTCTTGGGTTGATATGACTCCATACAGGTTTATTCTACGTGCCGTGCAGCGTGACGAGCGGAGACGTAAATGTTGGGGTTCTCTAGCATTCGTCCTACAAGATAAGGATATATTTTTTATTGTCGAAAAACTTTGGCATTCTCATTCTGCGATAAGTGAATGTAACGATGTTACTGAACTTAGATTATGCCGATGGCATGTTAATGAAGACTGGTCTCCATGGAACTGCTTTTTGGTTACCGTCCAAGAAATGAAAGCACATTTGAAACTTGAAATGCCAGAAGAGGTGTATGATGAGGAATTGGTACAAAAGGTGCACAATAAACATAAATTGGCTAAGGCTAACTTTGAACAACTGATAACTGTGAATAAACGATTCACAGAAACGGGCAATTGGCAAGGTGTTCGCGCCCCAGCCGTAGCGCATGTAGAAGCTGTAGATCAGATCTAAGTACTTAATTGTTATTTAGAAATTTTTAGGATTATTTATTATCAATCAATATTGTATGTATGCATTGTATTGTTGTCATCACTTTATGTTTTATAGATCACAAATGTTAATTGTTTGTATTAATTTTTAACCATGTTATTCAATTCACATTTTAGTGCTATGTCTATCAATGTTCGTCTATTCTTATGACTAGGGTCACCGCGTTCTATATAAAAATTTGGTACAAAATAATATTTAAGCTGTTTTGTTTCTTTCACCGTAAGATAGTTTCCAAAACATAATTGTCTTTTTTACCTAGTCATAAGATTAGATTTTAAATAGGCTTAAATAAAGATGTAAAATTTTATTAAAAAGTTATTTTCTACATTTCCAAGATTTACATCAAAGTAGTGATGATAAAATAATAAGTCCAAAATATTTAAATTGTCTTCTTTTAATAATTACACGTAATACTTTATAACATAATTACATCATACATGTACAATAATAATTTCTCAAGATATCAAACTCTCGCGATAGTCTAAAACAACATATAATATTAAAAAACACAAGTGTGATAAAACGGTAAAATTTTATAACGAAATGCATTTTAGAACTACTCGTAGTTAATACAACATATGTCAATAAATTACGTAATTATAATTTAGGCAATATGAATCAATAGCTGTACAACGAATACGAAGGAAATCCTTTAACTCGATAGAGTACCTTCCATGTTATAGATTTTGTTTGATAAATTTCACAAATAAAAAACTACAATGGTTCACTAATCCCACATAATCTTATAAAATAAGTAAAGCTGTGAAAATATATTTGTTTTTTACACTCATCGGTAAAATTACACTGTAGCGGGAAATATGCCAAATTGTCATAATAATCCTAGGTCTTTTTATACCCTATTTTATCTGCCGTTACATCTACTCGCGTGGTGAAATGGCGTTACAAAATCGCCATATCAAATCCCACAGAGAGAATCGCTACTAATTTCGTATGAAAATATGAAATATCATTAGGTTCATTATTCTAATTTAGAAAAAGAAATTTAAATTTACATTTGTTGATATTGCTTAATCGATTATAATCTAACATTCTAAAGAATCTGACATGTGTTCTTCAAACGCAGTGTCCAATCCATAGAATCAATTCATAAGGTATAGTCAGCGGTCCATTCTACTTCACACGAAATTATATTTGAAAATCTCTTTCAGGAATGGAGAAGTTACTCAATTATAAAAACATTATTATAAAACATTTTATCTCTTTAAGATTTAATTAAAATTATATATAAATATATAAACTTAATAATCCCCCATTGACCTAAAACACATCTAAAGTGCCAATCTTATTCAAGATTAAGTAGTTTGTGTGCCTTAAGATCTTTTAATTTTAATGAACCTAGACACGACACCGATCTAACAGACAATCAGTCAGGTTGCGAACAGAAGTCTCGAAATCGAATTGAAAGGAAATAATTATCATTCTTTCGCTGTCTAGTCCCTATAACTATTGGTTAAAACTCCAACATCATAGATTGCCCTATTTATTTATAACTAATCATATATCATTCTCTCGTTTGCGAGCAACTAACGACGTTAGTGTTTGTACATTTTGCATCGCCTCGTAACAGGGCGGCGTTCACTATCCTTGTACAAATAAATTCAGCAACAGTACTATACGCTAGTGCATAGCCAACAGGCCAGAGCGCGTCGCACGCACGACCCCATACGATCGAACAAAATAAACCGAGTCTAGTTTCTCTAATTTACCCAACAAAGACTGAACTATATTGTTACTAGCTAAAATGTATTTACAATAAATGGTTGTGCCTCATGGGAACGATATTCTAATAATTTGTAATCCTCTCGGAGCGGTATAATACAAAAAGTGCAGACACAATATTCACATAAAAGAATACAATATCTATTATACACTTACACAACTATTTTTGCACTTTTATATTGCCAGTTCTGTGGCTTAAACTCGGAATATCTCAATTTAATCAAGAATTCATAACCCATTTCCTTTACGCAACTATTAATTAACAGTCTATTTAATATATATATTTACATTTATATTTTAGAGAAGGAAGAGATATTAATACAAAGAGAGGTTCCTAATAACTGTGTGCAGTCATACATCCACCATGTACATATCGTATGGTCGTTAACTATTACAAAATGGCATGTACGGTATTACTACAGGATTCACAATATACAAGGTTTATATTAGTGATTTAATTTTTATTTACAAGTCTTTTACAATAAAATGACTGATCTCCATTACTCTGTCAGGTATATGTTATTAGATTCACCTCTGAAGCATAGTTTGAACTAATTTAGTAATTTAGTCGTACGGAAAGGTATTTAATAAAAAAAAATAGGTACTTAATTAAAATGTTGTTGTTCAGACAATAACTACTAAATTTTAAGTCAACTGACTAAATTATTAAAGCAGTTAAAACTGTTTTTATTTAACACATGGAAAATAAATTAAATTGTTACAACTTATACCTTTAAATTTTCATTTAATATCAATGTTTTATAGAATTCGCTATTTCAATATTGATATGATATAAGTAATCAATGAATGGTAGTCATAATTTAAAACCGATAACATAAAAAAAGAACACACTGCATGTTACATTGTCAATTAAATTTCACTATGATTAACAAAACATCTTCATCTGTAATATTAAGTTCTGCAAAATGTTTATTCGAGTTTCAATGGTAACCGTCAACTTCCATAGACGACGACATTCTGTCCGAGCTTGAGGTACTGTAGTTCATACTATAGTTAAGGTTACTAAGGGACATGTCCTGAGGAACGTCGGAAGGCGACGTCTGATAGTAATTACTCGGATAACTGTTGGCTGTGTACGGTGCGGCTGGGGGTTGAGACGGCCCTTCCTCAGAGTTCTCCTTGTCACTCGTCTCCATAAAATCTATGATGCGTTTCGTAGCTTTAACGTGAGCTACGATTCCAGCTTCGGCCTGGAAAATAAATTTAGGCGATTTTGTATTTGAGAAGAATAGATTGAATAAGGCTTACTAGCTTCCTTTATATTCTGTATGTACAAGTTCTACTTAAATTGGAAATCATTAACGTCTTTTTAAGGTATTGTTCTACTAGAAATAGAATGATTTTCAAAGAAAAATGGGTCGGCACAAAATTTTGCGTTTAGCATACTAACACGGCACATCCAGCGGCAAATATTTTGTCATATAAAGGATTCTTCACTATATTTCCAAAATCTTCTTTATTAATATTATGAAGTTCAGGTAGGAGTCTAAGTTTAGATAGATTTTAATATCGAAATAATCTGACGAATTCAAATATTGATAAATGTATCGAACACTATTATGTCAATCACTAAACTCAGTAATAGAAAAAAACACTAAGTTTAAGCACAATTTAATAGGAATGACAAGTATGTTACAATGAGTTAGGCATATTGTGAAAGTTTCTCCGACGACTTATGCGGAAGGTAGCTGGAATGTGTATGTGAATAATAAAATGTATAGTTGTTATCCTGGCAATATTATAAATTTTACCAGAAGGAGACTTTGTACAAAAGTCGATTGCTTGGGTACCTCTGTTCCATTCGTGTTTCTACCGTGAAGCAGTTGTGTTTGCATGGCTGTATTTCGGGTTGAAGCGTGGGATATGGGGTGAATTTACAGTGTACAGAGGAATAACACCTGAGTCCTCAGGAATGGCAACGCATGGGGGGTATCATGGGCGAAACAGTATACTCTGTTATGTCCATGGTAATGCTCGTGTCTATAGGCGACGATTACCACTTTCCATAAGGTGGACCGTCAGCTTGTTTGCCATTCTAAGTTGTATAAAAAAATAATAATAATTAAAGTGTATAAAGATGTTTGGATATTTGTTACTAAATTACGCTTAAACACGGCTAAAGGTATTTGAATGACATTTGATACATTGGTAATGGAGACTAAAAATCCCATTGCTAGCAATATACCCAACTAGGTCTACCTCCTCGTAGTTCCCCTTGGAAACTATCATTTTTAATTCCTGATGAATTCATCACGGTGGGCTAACTGGCCTGTTTTCATTCTCATCGATCACCCTTCACTGGTGCTCCGCCAGCGTATACACCGTTAGCGCATGCGGGGTTACCATTCCATTATCAACCATTAACACGTTCACGCCGGCACGGGCCACCGGTGGCCCGCGCTAGACTGTCTCATTGGACGGCGCGTACCACCGGTGGCCCGTACTAGATTGTCTTTTCTGGCAGCTCGTACCACCGATGGCACGTATTCGATTGTGCTATTAGAAATAATGAAAATTTAACGTTTATTTATTAAACATTAAAGTCGGCCCCGGCGTGGACGTGTTAAAAAATAACTTGACCACCTAGGACGGTTTGTATAAATAAGTAAACGTGGCGGGTAGTGAATAGTGAGTACTCACGCTGGCGGTGAGCGCGAGGAAGGTGTAGTACTTGTTGAGCGTGGGCAGCAGCGGCGCGTAGGCGGGCAGGCGGCGGCGCAGCGCGGCGGCGGCGGCGGGCGCGGCGCCGGCCGCGTGCCCGAGCAGCAGCGCGATGTACGCGCCCACCATCGTGTGCTCCATGTGCGTGCCCGCGCGCGCCAGCACTACCACGCGCATACACATCTTATTTATTTAAGTTCACCAACAATTGTTTCCACAATGTAAATATATATATATACAATTAGGGAGAAAGGGATTGTTAGTAATGGGGACTGAGAATCCCATTGCTAGCAATATACCCAACCAGGTCGACGTCCTCGCGGTTCTCCCTGGAAACCTATCATGGTTAATTCCTGATGAATTCATCATGATGGGATAACTAGCCTGTCTTCATTCTCATCTATCACCCTTCACTGGTGCTCCGCCAGCGTATCCCGTTAGTGCAGGCGGAGTTACCATACCATTTTCACCCATAAATATATATATATATATACAATTATGAAGCTTACAACTAAGTGTAACAATTTTTTTATAGGCAAACACAGCATATATTGATACATGTATAAGAATAACAATAAGTACGCAGAAATATATATATATATATATATATATATATATATATATATATATATATATATCTCATTTATGTCCCCCAAACGCCCCCGAAGTATTTGGTTTTTTATTAAATGCGTAATGGAATTTTTACTCAAAAACTCACGGACAACAAGAGAGGTGTGGGCAGGGGCATTGTCGTGGTGAAGAATATCTCGCGCCATATACTCGTGCCACACGATATGTACATCGACGTAGAATTTTCCATCAACTGTCTGGCCTGTGTTCGTCGGAATTGTGGAAGGACGTCCTGAACGTGGGTCATCTTGAACGCTTTCTCGGCCCTCTCTGAAAACGGTTGGTTCCTTCACAGCATCATCCCCATAAACTGTTCTGAGATCGGCAAAAATTTATTCTTGCTTTCGAGAGAAACTTTTACGATGCTCTTATGCCGAGAGTATTACGGCGGTCAGACCAGAACTGAAGCAAGTCGCATAGAACACTTTTATCAGTATATATATAGACAACTATTATTAAATGCTTAACAACTAACAACTAAAGCCACTATATCCATAAGCAGATCCAGCAGCACGGTTCATTTTATATACATGCGCATACACCACACATATTTATTAAGTTTATATAAAACACACTTCCAAAACAGAGGAGGTTACATTATTACATGTTCATTCTATACATTTTATGTATGCCCATCGATTTCTCCGTCAATTGTGGACCATTTTTTTTTTTTTACATAAAATAATTTAATAATTTTCAATGTAATTCTAATTGAATATTCAAAAAATACTCTAATAGCAAACTAAAAAGTAAATCATGTGATAATGTACTTATTTAACTGTTAAACTAAAAACTTGTTTAACTGAAAACCGCGTACAGGTCGACTCGATAGCGTATACTGCTATTAATGGGAACACTAATTCCTATTAATAACAATTCTTTCCCTTATCCAATAGGATTAAGATAGTTAATCTATCTTAATCCTATTGGGATATATATAACTCTTTCGTACAGTTGTTTCAAAGACATGTCTAGATAGAGCATCAGGTTGAAGTAGGAGTGGGTGGGTTTCGAACTGTCAAATAATCATTTGGGAGAGCAAAAAAAAAGGTTTGCTAGTAATGGCAAATAGTTGCACATTAAGGGCTCTTTGGTTAGAATTTGGTAGGGAAACCTAAAATGTTATTCTCTCTTCATTAGACGACACGACAATGATATTCTCGTAGGCAATACATTAGTACGATGCAGATATTATCAAGCTTTTGATTCAATAAATGTCAATTATCAACCAATAGTAATAACTATAAATTGAACTATTATAGCTCAATTAATTTTATTAAACCAATATTATTCAAGAAACAACAATTCAACAAATTGTTTCCAAGAGGCTACAATAACAAATATTGGCAAAAAATAAGTCCTTTTTAACTCACATTTAGCAACAGTTTCCTCAATGTCGTCCTGAGATTGCTTCTTCTTGTTGTCAACTTCGTTGTCCTTTTCGCCATCTAATAACGCGTCAGTGTTTTCTTCGGCTCGTCTATAAAAAATTAAGAAATCAAATATATTTTGTATATTTAAAAATATTATTCTGTGGCCCCAAAAAATATTGTGTTTGTGATGTCTTACGACATGTATTTTAGTGGAATAATTGTAGTGTGACATCTGCAGAAACAATATATTTTATGCATGTTATCACAATATAAACAAGACTTGAAATAAATGTTTTAGATGTATTTATTACATAAACAGATGAAACAGAACATTTTCATTTTTAACCATCCATACTCTGTGCCTAACTGGATGCGCTGTATTTGTGTAAAGATCAAATTTTTTGTCCTTTTTCTTTCCATCTTTATTGTTTGATGATATGTTTAAGTTTTCAATTTCACTCTGTATATTATGAATATACCTATAATACAAGTGGAAGTGTTAATCGATGGCTTACCTGGCTAGATCCTCCCGCTTGTAGAAGAGATCAACGATGAGATCGAGTGCGGATATACTCCGCGATATAATATCATCTTCGTTGTCCACCCGTATGCGAACGTTCAACAACTGTAGAGTTACAGCTTCGTTGTTTTGTACTAGGTTGATTAGGAGTAGCAATACCTGGCGAAAAGATAATAATATATATTGCTTGTAAAAAAAAAGACTAATTCAATGGTAGACATAGATACACCGATTATTAACAAATCTTTCATAGATACCAGTTACTCAAAAATAGACTATCGATTGCAAAAAGAATTGTTTAAATTAGTGCTGAATTGGTGACATAACAACAAACAGCGAATTCAATGTATTGAGATCGTACTATTTATTGTGACATAAGCAAAACATAGGTACAATATAGATATCTATAATAACAATAAACAACTTACACAAACACTGAAGTCGAAATTTCTGTCATCAGGTATGAAATTTCCTTGATTATTCAATATGATCAGGCACATTTCCATTACTGATGGTTGCTCAGCTACAACTTGAGCTCCAGGGGAGACTACATGAAAAATAAATAGTATTTTCTTATTATATATATTTGTTGTTAAAGTGCACAATTTGGACAAACTTATATTTAAAATCTAATACAGAAGTAATTATAACATTTCGATATGATTTCAATACCAAATCTGGTAGTGATTCATTCTTTTAATGATATAGTTTAATGTAATAAATTCTAATTATTTTGTACGTTTCTTAGAATTTATATACGGGGGGGGGGGGGGGGGGGGGGGGATATGTTTACTGACCGAGATAAAAGGTAGCCTATATTCTTTTCTACCCCATATAGTATATGTATACCAAAATACATAGCGATTAAGCCATTCAGGTGCTATGAGGTCACAAACAAACTCACATTCACATACATGGTAGATATTAGTAAATTTTATCTATGCAGACTAGATAATACTATTCCACTTTACAAATCTTTTTTATTATTATATAGAAATTTTATTCCGAATAAGCAGTAGAATCATAAAAATATATATATTAACACAGATCATGAAGCAAATAGTATTTTCGAAATTAAATTTACTTTTGTTGAGTTCCATACCACAATATTATTCGACAAAGGTTATCTTTTGTTATGACTGTTTACTATTAAATTGTTAATTTTTATCACTATCAGTTATTTACTCTAGTTGTGTAATTTATATCACTTTCGGAACTTATTTATAATAATATTATAAAAAGGAAAGATTTGATTGTATGTATGGATAAATTTATTAACTCTATATATATGGAAAGCTATATTACCAGCGAGTAACATAGGCTATATATTACTTTCTTTTTTAAAATATAGTTCTTTACGAAAATTACAATTAGAATTTACAGGGTACACAGGAATAACACCTGAGTCCTCAGTAATGGCAACGCATGGGGGGTGTCATGGGCGAAACAGTATACTCTGTTATGTCCATGGTACTACTTATGTCTATAGGCGACGGTTACCACTTTCCATCAGATGGGCTGTCAGCTTGTTTGCCATTCTAAGTTGTACATAAATAAAAAATAATATATTTTTTTTTTTTTCTATAAACGTCATTATTTGGCGTGCGGTACGAAAATTATTGACGATAAATAAAAAAAAAATATTTTTCTATGTATCTATCCATGGAGAAAACAGGGCGGGTGGCTAGTTTATTAATAAGCATGTGCTGAACATTAAATACAATTTGTTACTAAACCACTCTCAGTAATAGACAAAGGACAGTTACTAAGTATGAGTAATATTATATTAAATTGTGTAGTTATTTGGATATTTGTTATGTTCAAATTGTTGAACGACTTTAATAAATTTTAGTACATTGATGGAACATAATATTTTAAAATAAGATAGGTTACTTTTTATCTTGTTTTCCTTGAGAAATGCTCAAATACAACTCGTAAAAAACACATTATTATCTTCTAATACATTATTTTTGTCTTGGTAAGATACAAAATAATTATGAAATAATACATGTTTATACAGTATACAATTGCTATCCACATTTGTCAGTGTCTTATCTTACTTTTAAACCACGTAATGATTTTTTATGCGTGTTTTACTGTCATTTAGAAATTTGTACATACAAAATGAAGTATTTAATAATAAAATAACAATTAAGAGGTGATTCAATACGTACTATTGTTTCCGAATGAGTGGGACAAGTTGACAAGCACTTTGATGGCGGGTAACAAAGCGTCGAGCAGCGGTTGCCGTAGTTGAGGTTCCGAACGCGCCTCCATTGAGAAGCGTCTCAGCAGCGCCGCCAGGGTCTTTGCCGCACCCAATTGCGAGTTTAGCAGATACAATTGGTTGTCTTCATTCTGCTGTGTCACCTATGTAAAAAATATTTAAAACAAAATCAAACTGTGAACATGCATTACACCAGCAAACCTTTTTTATATAATATACGAGGCAAACGAGCATGCGGCTTATTTGATGGTAAGTGGTTATTGCCGCCCATAGACACCCATAACATTAGAAAAATTGCAGCTGTGTCGCCGGCTTTTCAGAAGGAATATACTCTATTCTTGCATGTTTTAGTGGACCGAAAATTAAAAGCAACTTGAAACAATTGTTTTTTACGTGACGAAAAAAACATGCAATATTGTTCTATAAATTATAATTGCAATATCAATTAAGTTGAACTGAAATGCGGCGTGTAAGGTGTGTGGGTGCAGAACGCACCTTTTTAAAGAATATTTTTAAATTTTATATTTTTATTTTGTTTTTTGATATCTGACAATGTCATCATTCGTGATTATATTTTTCTCTACCACTAGCAGCGACCGTCTTATTACTTCGTAAAATATACAGTCCTTTTTCAAGAGCATATCTCTAAAATCTTTAAAAATGTGTATACTTGACCATATGCATTCTACATTAAATACGCGACATAAAAATTTCTTTTTTGTTAATATTGTATTGTATTTACTTAAAAAATGTGACATTATGATAACTCTAGAATCGGAAGTATATATTATTGTCAGTGTTACCTATATATATATGTATAGTTGTCAATATTTATATCTTTATTTTATCAACTGGATTAACTATGTAAATAAATATGTAACACTAATAAATAATAACACAGTAATATATTACTGTTACCCCCATTTCATTATTTTATAACACAGTATTTTACAGATGGGCGATGCTGAATGCAAGGTGCATATTGTTTGATGGCATGAGGTCCCAGCGTAGAATGGACAATCCTTCCTATCCCAGGGGTGTTGTAAGATGGGACTTCAATTGGTCGCAGGATAGGAAGCAGCATACCATGTTGTTCAACAGTAGACAGTTAATAATTGTAACAGGTTTTATTTTCTACAATAATCTAAATATTGGGATAAAAACTATTCTATCTCTCAAGTTTTCTCAACATTTATATAATTTTATTAGAATTGTTTAAATCGTTTTAGAGATTAGCATAAACAAAAATCTTGACACAAAATTTTTATATTTAAAATTTAATTTAAAAATATGAATTTCATGTAATAAAGATATAATTTTTGCAGCTACACATAACATTGTTTAAATTTGGACCACTGAAAATGTTTTATATTTTTTTCTCTCCTGAAGAGATTTGCAGGTACACATCTCTAGTTTAAAATTTCTATAATATACTCACGTTCTCGAGCACGCGCATGCAGCGGTCGGCCTTGCGCAGCTCGTGTATGTGCTGCGGCTGCCAGTCGGCGGCGGCGGCGGGCGCTGCAGGCAACCTAGCCGCGCACTCTTGGATGGTGCGTACTATGTGCTCGATGCCGCCCAGTACACGCAACTCCTCCTTGAACCACTCGCCCGCGCGTTTGGACGTAAGTGACAGTAATGTCTCCATCGCTAGGTGGCCAACCTGTATAATGACAATTTATTCTCACACATGCACTTCAGCAATTTATTAATATACTACTGGATATAGGTCTCTTCAATGAAAGGGGAATATAGGTAGCTTATTATTACTACTCTAACCAGTTTCAATTAGTTTTCCTCTTCTTACATACATTAAAATGTTTGATGTTTATGTCGTTTTATACAGTAAAACGACAAAAACATCAAAGGTCTGTAAAAGTAGGTTTCTTGAAAATTTTTGTTTTTATGAATAAATCTTTTAACCTCTAAATCTTACTCTAATATGTAACTTTTAAATGATTACATTATTACATCATGATATACTTATTACATATTTCCCTCAAAACATACTATTACTTATACTATATTATTTATACTTACAGTAATATTATCTAAATCTAGATGCTGTGCTTTTCCTTGACTCTTAATTTCAGCACATAATTCTCGAACCCTTTCTTGTGTTTTTGCCAGCTGAGCTGATGTCAGGCCACAATCATCCAGTGCATTCCTACAAAAATTATGATTAATGAAAAATTTTATTTAAGATATTTTGAAAGAAATTTATTATTATGACAATTTATAACAAATATATGATATAGTTCAGATCACTGAAGGGAAATGGTTAACAGCACTTATATTCAATATAGTAAAAATCGTTATAATTTTGTCGAATAGTAACTACCGTGATACATACATAAGTATACATACTGTAATATAGTTATTTATATCAACTTAAAAACATGAGTAAAACCAATATAAATACCTACAATATATTAATATATTTTAGCATTTCTGCCTTACAGTAGAAGTAGCATAGTTTAGGCAATATTAATATTTGTTTACTATATCAATCAATAATTAAAAAAATCAATAATATGTATGTACACTTATGAATATCAAATAAAAGTAGGTGTTTTGATACTTACTTGTGTGAAACATCAGATTCAAGTAAATTCAACATGAGTTCAAGTGAATCTCGGTCCACATCCATGTTAAGACGATCTTGCGACAACACAAACATTACAGTTGCTGTGCACAGGCCCAAGCTCTGAAATTATTTTTTTAAAAAGAAACTTATATAATATTTATTTATTAAGCATTTCTACAGCAAAAGCAACAATGAACAACATTTATAACTTTGAAAATCAAGTGATATTTTACAACTATTATTATTAATTTGTATAATAAACTTACAACTATTTAAACTACAAAATTTGAATTTGTTAATATTGTCAATATTATTAAAAACATAAATTGCTATTTTTATAATAATAAATAATTTAATACACTCTTCTATGTAGGATTATTTGGAATTTGATATCACTGTATCTTAAAATTTTATTATTTTTAATGTAATATTTTTTATTGTTACCTGGTCATTAGTGGCATCATGTAAGGCGCGGAAGAACTTCTGCACAATACCATGTGCTCGGAGGTGCATTCTAAAGGCGGGTGCAGTACATTTGCTAGCCAGCGTTATTGCAGACAAGCACCGCGTCGACATTGGATTGTTGTCCTAACGGTCAATACCAACAAGTCAATTTAAACAATCATTTTATTATAAATGTGTGTTTATAAAAATGCTTGAATGTTTGTTATTAAATCAAGTTAAAATTATTGAACAGTTTAGAATAACACACAGACACATTATTTGGTAGATTAAGACGTAGAGTACTTTGTATACTAATACAAGTGAGCAAAGTCGCTAAATATAGCTATATAATAAATGTGATCTACAAAAAAAATCAATTGTGATAAAACCAATTATCTTGATTTAAAAACTAAACTACTGAATTGATTTTGATAAAATCCTTGAGGAACCAATCTGTAAGTATATCCTTTTAGATAAAAGAATAATTTACCAAATTAGTTTATAACCGATGGATTTATAGGGAAACAAACATAAAATTAAAAAATACAACTGAATTGAGAACCTACTTCCATTAGAAATCTGTATAAAACTCAATTTAATAATTTTAATAAAAAAAAGTCATCAATATTGGTTCAGAATTAACGAATATAGGGTGTAATAAAAAAAAATATTAAGATTGATTTCAGTCATTTATAATGTAACACCATTAGTGTATATTATATAATACATACATATATACATATTAATATAAAGAAGTACTAATAGAATGATGACTGAGTCATCAACGAAAGCCTACACCGTAAAATAATACCACATTATTCAACTAAAAACAAAAGTTCTTTTGTCAATACAACGCCATCTAGCGAGTTAGAAGCAGATTATTGTGACCTTAATATCTGAGAAAAAGTTGCTGAACATAACAAGAGTGAAATTGGAAGTACGAGGTCTGTCCGGAAAGTTCGTATAAAAGTGTTCTGGAATGCGAGAAAGAGGAGTGGGGAGGCCAGGTAAGCGCAGGACCCCTTCCTTATGTCCCTAACAATGCTTCAGTTCTGGTCTGACCGCCGTGCGGTGCGAACTGGCTTGTCACGCCATCTGTGAAGTTACCTCTTAACGAAACCCCGTCGGCATGGAGCCCGCTTCCGTTGAAGAGCAGCGCGTCGTAATCAAGTTTCTCTCGAAACTCGGCAAGAATGGCCGTGAAATTTTTGCCGATCTAATTCGATAAGACATCCGGGGAACCACGAACAAAAAAATCAAGAAAATCCCGCTCAAATGTCAAGACAATGTTGATTGTTTTTTTCGATGTTCGGGGGATTGTCCATCAAGAATTCGTCCCTCCAGGCCAGACAGTTGATGGAAAATTCTACGTCGATGTGCTCAGACACCTCAAAGCTCGTGTGGCACGAGTTCGTCCAGAATTGGCGCGAGAGGGGCGTTGGATTCTTCACCACGACAATGCCCCTGCCCACACCTCTCTTGTTGTCCGTGAGTTTTTGAGTAAAAATTCCATTACGGTGACCGAACACCCCCCCTATTCGCCGGATTTGGCCCCGTGTGACTTCTTCTTGTTCCCAAAAACCAAATTGGTACTTCGGGGGCGGCATTTGGGGGACATAAATGAGATAAAAAAAGCTACGACGGGGCAGCTGAGAAACCTACAACCAGAGGACTTTCAAGGAGCCTTCTCACAGTGGAAACGGCGTTGGCACAAGTGCATTATGTCACAGGGGGAGTACTTTGAAGGGGATAAAATTGAATTACCTGAATAATTGTAAAATAAAATTTTTAAAAAACTTTTATACGTACTTTCCGGACAAACCTCGTATTCTTACATAATAAATGTAATTCGGAGATTTATTTGCAATCACATATGAATAGACATTATTTGCGTATATGCTGTAGAATGATAATTAATTATTTAGTCCAAGGGATGTCGACTAGTTGTTTTTTGTTTAACATACATGAACAAATATGAGTATTGTATTATTAATAGAATAATATTGCCTAAAGATATTCAAGTATAATGATTTGCTTTTACTATGGTACTAACTTGACTTAGTTATTCTTTTATTTATTCGGTTTAGTTGCTCTTTAAATATCATAAGGCAAGTATAAAAAAACAGAAAACAAAAAGCTTGATTGAAATTAAGATATTTTAAAATTGAAACAGAATTAAGAATTCTTTGAGTAGGAATCTCTAATTATTTATATGATCATATTCAGTTCATGATAAAGACCAGTTTAACGGCACAAAATTATTTAATATTGTATTATGATTAACATACCTGCAATGCATCCAAAATATATTCCACATCATCATTCAACTCTTGGAATTCACCAATTTCTTGTATTTGATGCGCTTTTTTCACATTCCTGACAACAGTGTAGTACTGAAAAAAAAAGCAAATCTAGTTTGAGCTGAATAAATAAGACAATTTAAAAATATTTGTGAGTAAAATAGGTATTCTAATGCAGTATTATTAATTATTATTTAACTACACCCTTTAACTAAATACATGCAAAATATTGTTTCATGTACAAATTAGATAGAATAAATCACTTATGAAATCATAAAGTTTTGCAAGTTACATACATCTTAAGATAGAAAAAAATTAATGCTATTTACATTTCATTTTTATTTCAAAATTTGTAGTAAAATAAAATTTAAAAAATCATTAACATTAAAAATGAGGAATATACTGCACAAAATTAGTCAGCTATACTATACAGCTTACCAGTATAATTATTATATGACTAATTACTTAATTCAGTGTTAATACTATTACTTATTACATAAGATTAGTAACTACCTACTCATTTGACCTACAATTTAAAAAGAAAATATAATAACTTAACAAAGGGATCAGTAAATTACTACAAAACATTTGTTGTTTTTATTTCCTTACCTCTTTAGCTTCTTTCGCACATCTGACACTGGTATAAGGCTTTACTGCTTCAGTAGAATCAATACTGTCCACTATCGGATCAGGAGGCTTATACCGTGTTACCCTTGTCAGTTCCTCAGGTACTTTATTTACAGGATTTCTGACCTCTGGGTTCTCTGGTGGTTCAGGCCTTGGAGTCTCATTTCCTTTCTGTAAAGAAAATTAAATAAGTGCTATTTTTTAGGAAAATTAAAAAATAATAGTCATATGGATGGAATTATATGGATGTTCAGTACAAAGGATCAAACCAAAAAACTTAAAAATGAGACAATGGTATAAAATGAAATAAACACAATACTGTATCAGATAATCACAATAGTCACAATATTTTAATATCATTATCTTACTTATGGCAATTATGTGGATTGAATAGTTTTACCAAACTTTGTCCAAAGAAGTTATATATTTTTTGTTTGTTATCTCATAATTCCTATAACTTATAAACCAATTTGAAAAATTCTTTTTATCTGAAAGGATATACTTTCAGATTAATCCCATAAAAAAATTATCAAAATTGGTTTAGGTTATAAAATAACTAAGTTTTCCACAATTAAAGTTGGTGCTTTTTTGGGAAATAAATATAAATTACTGTTACTCAAAATCTTCAGCAATTCTATATTTAACAACAAATATGACATTGAAATGTTCAAGAAATGACGATATTCCTTTCTATTTGCTGGCAACACACCTACAATTTTTCTAATGATGTGGGTGTTTAAGAGTGGCAGTAATCACTTACCAACAGATAAGCTGCATGCTCATTTGCTCCATATATTACAAAATAAAATAAATATTGTTATACTTTTATGTATGATTAGTGCATACAATAAAGTATTAAATAATAATAAATAATTTTGAATATATTTTTTTCTAGAGTGGATAGGACTTACTCTACATATCTGAGTACAGATTGTGTATAATAAATGTAAAAATTGTCTTACATCATTTGCCCACTCATGTCTGTATAAGTGACGCCTTTTCCTTGCTGGCAATGGAGATGGGTTATCATTCATCAAAGATTTACTTTTGAATATTGAACCTTTCTTTTTTGTTATTACTAATTTTACACTTGGTTTGTCTTCATTGTGTTCCTCTGTCTCAGACATTCTTTGAGGAGATTTAAAGACATCGTCAGGTTGATTTTTTTGTGATTCTTCTTCCGAATTTTCATTAGGACAACTATTATAGGCGGAATCAGATGACTGTATTGGTTGTGAATTAAGTTGACATTCCATTTCTGTATTACTTATCTGTGCAAAACTTTCTGCATTTTCTTCTTCATGAGGTACTTCTGGTTCATTTTGTTCAAAGTCATCCTGAGTATTTTCTTGGATGTCTGAATTATAATCAGGACTCGAATGCTTTAATTGTTTTTGCTTCTGCTTTTTATTACTTTTAATTTTGTGAGTATCATTTCCTGGCTGTGCTCTACTACTGTCCCCTTCACCTGAAAGTATTTCTATTAAATTACTCTTGTGACTATCAGATTCTTGATCAATTCCTTCATTCAATTTTGGTGATGTAATTATTGGACCATCCACCACAGCTTCATGTTTTTTCTTTACTTTCCTGCCTTCTTTTTTTACATCACTTACTGTTTTTGTTCCATGTCTGTTGGAATAATTTGATGTTAATGCATCCAAATAATCATCATTTTCACTATAATTTATATTAGGCCTGTTTCTTCTGGCTCTTCCAGAAGTAAGTTCAGGTGGCTTAGGTTCTGGTGGAAGTTCCTTAGGTTGAACTTCTAACCTTGGTGATTTTGATTTAGAACCAGTTGAGTCCAACTTGGCTAACTGAGATTCAATATCATCAGCTACTACCTTATGTCGTGATTCTTTTTCAATGTCATGTCCTGGTGATGCTAAGGTTTTATAAAGATCATAGTTATCCGACCCTGGTAGAGGAGAGTTAGGTGGTTTCACAGGCTCTTCATCTGTATATTTATGGTGACGTTTATGTGATTTATGATCTTTCTTATCCTTTTTTCTCTCTTTTTTAATTTCTTGATTTAGACCTGCACATTTTATGGTGATTTTAAGACCCTCATGTTTAGGAGAACATATTGCTTCCACTGATGGGCTCTTTTTATGATCAGAGCCAAAATCAGAATGTGTATCCATAGATGAATGTCTATCAGAGCCGGGTGAAGTAAAACCTTCATTTGAATCAGTACTCACAATTCTAGATGTACCTTTAGATATTCGTAGAACTATTGGTGGTGGCTTCCTTTCTTCTGTGCTGTCTTTACTAGTTGATGGACTTGCCATGTCTATCTTCATAGGAGTAGGACTTGAGACTAATGGACTTGATTTAGGGGATGGAATCTTTGGGGAAGGTACTCTAGGTGGTGGCGGTGGTTCATAATCATGACTAAAGTCTGGAATAGGACTGTTACTACCATCTTCTGCATAATTGATCACCTTATTACGATTGCGGACCAAATACCGTTTATTAGGTGGCTGAGTATTCTGTGCTGGAACTTCCTCTTTTCGGGAGGCCTTGGTGGCCACTGAATTTTTCTTAGCTTTTCCCTTCTCAGAATTACGCCTTGGCAATTCAGGTGATGATGAATCTCTATTATAAACTCTGCTTCTCTTATTTGTTTTCTTTTCTTTACTATTTGATGGATGTTCGGGTGAAAGTGGGGCAGCTGGCACAGGAGGGGCATAAGTGATTTGTGGAACTGGTGGAAATGGCTCAGCATTTCGAGATTTGAAAAACTTCTTAGGTTTTGGAGGTGGCTGCTCAGTTTCAACTGCAGGTACTGTCAGTGGACTATTTTGGTCTTGTACTGGTTTCTTAATAACATTATTGGCATAAGCTGAAATATAAAAAGTAAACAAGTTTACTAAGTGTTAGGAAAAAAAAAAGTTTTATAAATCACTTTAAGTACATGTAATCACCATTAGTGTAATGGTCAAAAGTTGAAATTATATTTAAATTGACTTTCACCAAATTAGAGACAATTTAGTGACTACTTGTTAGGCGCAACTTGAAGAATATTCATGTTCTATTGTTTAAGCATTTGTAGAATATAAAGAAATATAATATTCTTACCGTAAGGCGCACTCCTGATCGACGTAAAACTTGTAATACCCCATTTACCAACGGTGCCCGCCGAACGAGCTGCAGATGGACAATTACTGTTTTCTCTAAAAAGGGCACTATCCAGCGGCACGGCCACGCTGCCGGCTCGGCCTCTGCCCCAGCGCGACATGCTGATAATTTCATTAAAAACGATGACACCTGCACCGTCCAGCCAGATCAATCACCTCTTCAAATGTCAAATTAGCATATAAGTCATACCGTTGATGTATACGTTAACCACGTTTACTTACAACTTTACTTTCTTTAATAAACACTTTTATAAGATGCTCAGACTTTCTTTGATTGGAACGAAAACACAACCCAGAAAGATAACACACCCGCCATTTTTACGGGAGCCAAGTACTTTCCCAAAGACGCACACAAGATATGATTTGAGCCTATGACGCACTAGACACAATAATTAGATATTCATTATATTTTTTTTATTCTCTTTGAACTCATGAGGTAGTTAATTAATATTAATATAGATATTACATGACAATTAGGACACAAACTGCGATGTTGTCATCTCATAACACAAGAGTCGCCATATTGGCAAAACAAGAAGATATAAATTTAAATAACCAATGGGAGCGTCCGAATGCGTAACTCTGCCCATAGACAAATATTAGTGTTGTATGTTATAGTATTGATATCTTCTGATTTATTAATAATTAATCGAATAATATTTAATCAATTCAATTATTAAATGATTAAATGCTGTTTTTGCAATGAATAATATATAATAATAATAATATTTTTAGTTGTTATGATTTTAGGTATAAAATATTAGATCTTATAAATTAAAAGTACCTTACAAAATCTACTTAAGTTAAACATGCAAATATTGAAAATAAAGGTTTTTATTTAATTTAATTTCAAAATTTTCAGTAGTATTAAAAAAAGTAATTAATTGACAATTGAGTAAAGATAAATGAAATATTATAATTACAATGTACTATATATCTTTACTAATATTATAAATATGAAAAAAAGGTTGTATGTTTGTTACGATATAGCGCTTTAATGGTTTAATCAATCACTATAAATTAAATACACGTAAATACCGTAAGCAAAAGAACCAAAATAACCGACATAGCCCAAAAGATAAACAAGCTGAAGTGTTTTTTTTTAATGGGTGATAATGAAATGATAATCCCGCCTGCACTATCGATATACACAAGCAGGATACCAGTGAAGGATGATAGGTAAGGATGAAGCAGGTCAGTTAACTCATCGTGATGAATTTAACAATAATTGTTCATGATAGTTTCCAAGGAGAACCACGTGGAGGTCGACCTAATAGGGCAAATTGCTAGCAATGGGGCTGTCAAATTCCATTGCTAACAATCCCTTTCACCCCAGCTGAAATAGGTTGGTCACATAGTTTAATGAACCGACAACCGATGAGAAGGAAAGGTTCTTCAGTATAGGGCAACCTCTCACTAGATAGAGGGACGACCTCAAATGTATTGTAGGGATTCAGTGGATGCAAGTAATTCAGGACCATGACTTATGTCTGTCTATAGGACAGGCCTATATCCAGCAGTGGACGGATAATGACTGAAATGATGATGATAAAGTACTATATGTGATAGAAGAAAAGAACAGATCCCAGTCACGCGGATGAAATCTCGGATAAACGATAGCAGAAAAAATATTAGCATTTTATTTTTGACATGAAATGAAAAACGATTTATAATATTCACGAGTATTTTTAAATTAATATTTAAAATTTTAATTATCTCAAAACAAATTTTGTGCCTTAATAATAATTAATTATTTTTATGGCATAGATAACTTTTTAGCTTTACATTATGGCTAACAACTTTGGTATCACTCTGTATATAGAAGATAGAAAAAAAAGGAATAAAATTTTTCTCGCATTTTTAGTATTTTTTTTTTCTGTTTCGCTTTGACAAAAAACAATTTTATTTATTCCTCTCTATCCAAAGTTACTTGGAAAAGATTGAAATTTAGCGATAAAGTCCGCCATTATTAACTCTTTATCTTGCTTTTATATAATTAAGTTTATGTAATTAAGCATTAATATTGTTTTTATGTATATTGTAAATATTTTAATCTGTATCATTATATTAAAGAAACAATAGCATTTTCATTAATTCGTGAATTTAAATAATTTATTTGATATTTTATTGCAAAATAAATAAATAACAAAATAAATTGTATATGGTCATATAAACTTATCTTCATAACATCAACATAGACGGTATAAGACTGTACTAATACTTAGAATCTAAAAGATCTTTTCTTATAATTTTTGCTTTGTTTTCTGATATAAAATAAATTCTAAGTGCAGTATAAAATCAAGAATAATGGAACTTTAATGATATTTTAATTAGTAAAATAACTTATGAAGCTCATCACCAAACATGTGAAATTTATTGACTGTTATTAAAATAATAATAAACTGTTTCCAAAGATGTAACTAGTGGGAAGGAACCCGGATGGATCGTGTGTGAAAGACATGTTTGAGATAAAAGTCTCCTACCCGGCAAATAATTTTAAATGATTGTTTCTTAGTAGTGTTTAGTAACGTTTCTATTTTTTTTTTTTAATAAACCACTCTCCTAGTTTTATTATAAATTATATTCTCTTTTTACTATCTATTATTTCTCTAGCTTTTCTATTACATAAACCTTTCCGCTATTTCTTGTCTTTTTCATTTACTTTACTCGACTATTCGATTCTTGTAATTCATCTAATTATGTATCGATGCATATTTTGAATCGAATAAGGTTATAAAATGCAACAGTAGGAATGACGCCAAAGACAATTTTTTTTTTTTATTTTCATTAATTACTTTATTTAGTGATAACAGTTAACAGTATAAGATTTAATTCATGATCATTAAAAAAACCTATTTAATCTATACGTTTTTTTTTTATTTTCCGTCCCATTTCTCATCTGTTGTAAGTGGCATATTGGACAACACTAGCGTATTGCCAAATTAAAGAAAAAAGTTATTTTAATTTCACCTATAATTTAAGAACAAGTAGTAGAAACTAAAATATCTTTGGCTATATTAATCGAATTAACACACCTTACTCTTATTATGCCGACTCCTGTCATATAGACCTCACTGAAGAGCAATTGTTAAATTTGAGTCTTCAAAATTTATTTATTTGTTTCACATTTGATCTTCAGAAATATGACCACATTTCTCAATTTCATACTCAACATAAATGACTTCCTATACGTTTTCATCGTAATCTGCATATCCTATCTCTCTTTTACGCAGTTCTTTTTAACACCATTGTTTCCGATTATTCAAAAGATCGATTCGTGTTTTTCTTGCGTGCCATACTTGGGAAGGAAGGGATTGTTAGCAATGCGAACTACCAGTCTCATTGCTAGCAATATAAAATTGACGGGTCGCCCTCCACGTGGTCCCCCCTGGAAAACATCGTGCTGAATTCCAGGTGTATTTATCACGATGGGCTAACTGACCTGCTTTTTCATTCTCACCTATCATCCCTCACTGGTGCCTCGCCAGGGTATATTTTAGCGCTGGCAAGTATACCATTCCATTATCATCCATCAAACATAAGCATAGCAAAATAAACCAATTTTTATACGCATTACACATGTTGTCTAAGATCACACAGCGGTATTGACTGCATATCATGCATATGTTGAACCCTTGCTAAGTTATGGTGTCATATTTTGGGGCAATTCTACATATAGAGACATAGTCTTCAAAATTCAGAAAATGTGTATTAGATCTATGCGCAATTTAAAAAGAATTGATACATGTACGACTTCATTCAAAAGACTGAATATTCTAACTTTTCCGAGCCGTTATATTCTTGAAACAATATTGTTTGTGAAAAAGAATGAAATTTTATTTGAAAAGTTAAAAAGTGACCTTAATACTGATAAAATTCGTGTTCAACCTCACGTCACAGTATTATTTGATAAAAGTTTTTTTGGTATTATCTCTATAATATATAATAAATTCCCGAAGGCATTTAAGGAAATAGACAATAATAGATGTATTTAAGAAAAAAGCAAAAGAATATTTATCAGTCAAATGTTAATGTAAGTTACATGACTATTACAATGATAAACATTAGACATACAATATTATTTATCAATTGGCTTATTATTATTATTATTGACATTGTTTTTATTGTTATAAATTATTATTAAACAACAACTTACATTTATTTTATATTGTACCTGCCAATATAGTAGAATGTGGAATAATGGACTTGTAAAAAATATTTTCATCTAATGTATGTATATAAATAAATGATAAATGATTTGAAATTGAATTTACCAGTCCTATAGTCTTATTGCTAGTAATATGCTTTGTTGAGTTGACCTTCGCGTGGGTTCCCCCTGGAAACCATCGTGCTGGATTTTAGGTGTATTTGTCATAATGGGTTAACACACTTGCCTTTTCATTGTTACCTTTCGTCCTTCACTGGTGCCCCGCCAGTGTATACTGTTATCGCCAGGCGGTTCTACCATACATTGTCATCTATTAAAAAAAACGAGCACGTTTGGGGGAAAGGATTCTTTAGTAATAGGGTCTAATAGCTCCATTGTTAGTAATATATCCTGTTTTTTATTAATAGTGATAATAGAATGGCGACCCCGCTTGCGCTATCGGTATACGCTGGCGGAGCACCAGTGAGGGATGATAGGTGACGATGAAAGCAGATCAGTTAGCCCATCGTGACGAATTCCTCTAGAATTAACCACGATGGTGTCCAGGAGAACCACGTAGAGGTCGACCTAATAGGATATAGCGCTAGCAATGAATCAGTTAGACCTCATCACTAACAATCCCTTTCCCCCAATATATCCTGTTAGGTTTACCTCCGCGCGCTAAATTAAGTACGATGGTTTTCCCCTTGAAAACTACCGTGCTTAATTTATGTGAAATTCGTCACGATGGTTTAGTTGACATACTTAGTGCAGTGATAACAACTTCCGGCTCAAAATTCCCGCTCATTCCTCTTCTTTTATATTCTGAATCCTTTACTGTCCAAGCGTTTCGCCTGTGGTACTCACTACCTGTTTCTGTTCGGTGCGCTCAATCTCTCGCTAGCTTTAAAACCCTTTAATTACTGTTTTCCTGTGTTTTGTTTCATCTGGCTCTTTCGTTTTCTCCTGTTATATGTGTGCCATTCAGTGTGTGTATATTTATGTATATAAATTAGTATCTATATAATAGTGCGCCACCTAACCCTTAGCCTTTTTCTCAATGTCCTTTATCTATAGTATAGACTTATATATAGTATAACCAAGAAGTATATAACCAAAGGAAAAGAGAATGCATTTCATACAAGCCATATTATATTTATACTTACGTTATTATTATATTTACGTTATAATTATATTATCATTTGATAAACGAAATATAATTTTTTTATTTCAAATTGCATGTTCCGATGAACGTTTTTTTAGCCAAAATAAAACAAAAGATAACATTCTTAAATATACTTATTATTTGATACAATATATACCTTGAGATCTCGATTTCGTAATATTATTGATAGTAAACACAAATTTTCAATACTTCCCATAATATCTTATCA